TGTTTTCTCCCAATAGACTGTGAGTTCCTTGCAAGCAGGCACAGTGTTGCTTGCTTGTCTTGGTATCCCTAGCCCTTAGTCCAGTGCCACCCTAGAACAGACTTAAGGGTGTTTAATAAATGTTTATTCTCTCTCTCTTCTCTCCTCTCCTCTCCCTCTTCTCTTCTCTCCTCTCCTCTCCCTCTCCTCTTTCTCTCTTCTCTCTCCTCTCTCCTTCTTCTCTCTCCCCTCTCTCTCTCTCTCCATAAAAACAAAAAACATCAATAAAATCTTTTTTATACCGTGGACAGCCAAACTAGGGAAAAAAATTACCTATTTGATTGGTTTTGCTGAACTGGTTTTTGTTTTTGTTGATATGAAAGTAAAAGACATCAGTAAATTTTTAAAAAATAAGTAAGTTTTTGACCAAAAGGATGAGATATGGGTAAAAACAAAACCAAATCAAAACAGATATTGGCATAGATGATAATCATTTCTAAATACAATGTAAATAATGTAAATCAAGTAGCACAAAGAGAAGACCAAAAATAATGGAGAAACCACCTTGTCAATGTCCTTGGAAGCCAGTCAGTTAATTCAAATTTATCAAGCATCTACTAAGCACGGGGGATACAAAGAAAGGCAAAGGGGCAGCTAGGTGGTACCGTGGATAGAGCACTGGCCCTGGAGTCAGGAGGACCTGAGTTCAAATCTGGCCTCAGACAAAAACACTTGACACTTACTAGCTGTGTGACCCGGGGCAAATCACTTCACCCCAATTGCCTTTAAAAAAAAAAAGGCAAAAACCAAAACAGACAAAAAACCCCAAACACACAAAGAAATAAAAAGTCTGCACTCAAACTGCATCCAGAGGAGCCATGCTTTTGCAAGCGGTGGGGGATCAGTTCTCAAGATATCTGAAAGCATGGAAGATCCCAAATGCTTGGTGAAAATAATGGGCATTTGCTTTTTGCTCCAGATTTATGATTTCACTGGTATGATAAACTTACCATATAAACACTCCTTCCACTAATACAGATAAGAAGCTCATGTAATATCTTTTAGTATTATCAAAAAAGGATATCAATAACCATTGCTCCAAATACCTTATCTATACAACTGTTACAAGAATATTCTAAATAGATATTGAAGGCATCCTTGACGAAGGTATAATAATGGAATAGGCAAGCTTTTCAAGTAATAGTCAGTAGCAGACCCCATCTTTAGTCAAATAGTTGACTGGAAGTATAGGGAACACAAGATTTCACTGTTCTTCGTGTATGCTGATTATAAGAAAGCATGTTTGATTCAGCAGAACAAAATGCTACTTTAAAGGCCTCCACAGAGTATCTCCAACATGTTATAAATCCTACAAGATTTAATGCTTCAAATTCTATATGTTAGGATAAGTTACAATCCTACCAGATTCCCTGAAAGATACAACAGAGATAATTTTGTTTAGTGATCCTCTCAAAGGATCTGAAATACAGTGAAAAGAGCAATGGATTTGGAGCCTGAGGACCTGGGCTCAAAACCTGGTCCTGATGATACTGACTAGCTGTGTGACCTTGGGCAAGTCATTTAATTTCCCCACCCTTTACTTTCCTTCAGAAAAATGACAGATTTAGACAAGGCGATCTTAGAACTCCCTTCTAGCTCTAAGCCTCTGATTATTAATATCAGAAGAGACATAAAAGACCTATGTTTGGCAAAAATGTTTGCCAGTGTCATGGAGGAGATTTAGTGAAATACTACAGTAGAAGAGAGATTTCCTATCAATGGGCTGTTGGTTGCGGATAATATGGTACTGAGGAATCAAGCTCCAGAACACTGCCCTAACTAGTCACACAGGGCTTGGGGAGTTAGATCAACAATCCACAGAACTCATTCCTTCCTTCCTTCCTTCAATAAGCATTTACATACCAGGGACTAAGCTAGGTGCTGGGCATACAAACATGAAATAGACACTGCCTTCAAGGAGCTTTCATTCTATCCAGGGGAAAATATGAGGCAGATTAGTAAATACAAAATTTTGTTGTTGTTCAGTCATATTTGACTCTTCATGACCCCATTTGGGGTTTTCTTGGCAAAGATACTAGAGTGGTTTGCCATTTCTTTCTCCAGCTTATTTTACATATGAGGAAACTGAGACAAACAGGGTTAAGTGACTTGCCCAGGGTTATTCTGCTAGTAAGAGTCAGTGGCCAAATTTGAACTCTGGAAGATGAGTCTTCCTGATGCTAAGCCCACGGCTCTACCTACTGTGCCACCTAGCTGCCCAAACACAAAGTACAAACAAAATAAATGCAAAGTAATTTCAGGGAGGGGCATGAGCAATTGGAAGACTGGGTTAGGTGGCGGTTAAGCACAGCCTTAGAGGAGGCTCAGGATTCTATACGGGGAGCTGGGAAGGGAGCACCACGTTAAAGGTATCTCTTCTGCTCTTTGTAGCTAAACTACTCAAAAAGGCCCTCTACAATAGGTGTCTTCACTTTCTCTCCTCTCACTCTCTTCCTAATCCTTTACAATTTGGCTTCCCACTTTATCATTCTACTGAAACTTCTCTCTCCAAGGTCACTAATGTTCTCAGTTGCCAAATCCAATGGCCTTTTCTCAATATTCATTCTCTTTGACCTTTCCGCAGCCTTTGACACTGTTGATCACTTTCCTCTTTGATACTCTCTTTTCTCTAGGTTTCTGGGACACCACCCTCTCCTATCTATCTGATTGCTTCTTCCCAGTCTCCTTTGCTGGATCCTCTTCCAGATCACACCTTCTAATTGTAGGTGTTCCTAGGGGTTCTGTCCTGGGTCCTCTTCTCTTCTCCCTCTATACTACTTCACTTGGTAATCTCATCAGCTCCCATGGACTTAATTGCCATCTTTATGCGGATGATTCACAAATATTTCTTTCCTGCCCCAATCTCTTTGCTGATTTCCAATCTTACATCAACTATCTTTCAGACATCTTGAACTGAATGTCCAGTAGAAATCTTAAATTTATGTCCAAAACCGAACTCATTATCTTTACCCATAAACTCTCCCCCAACTTCTACCTTCCCTGTTCCTGTAAAGGGCAACACCATTCCCCAGTCCCTCAGGCTCACAACCTGGATTTCTCACTCTCTCTTATCCCCTATATCCAAGCTGTCGACAAGGTCTGTTGATGTCACCTTTGTAACATTTCTCAAATACATCTCCTCTTCTCTGACACTGCCCTCACTCTGGTGCAGCCCTCATCACCTCACACCTGGACTATTGCAATAGCCTGCCGGTGGGTCTGCCTGCCTCAAGTCTTTCTCCACTCCAATTCATCCTCTCTTCTGCCACTCAAGTGATTTTCCTAAAGCACAGGTCTGAACACGTCACAATCTGCCTTCCCCAAACAAAATTCCACTGGCTTCCTAATGTCTACAGCAGGGGTGGAGAAGCTGTGGCCTCGAGGCCACATGTGGCCCCCTAGGTCCTCAAGTGTGGGCCTTTGACTGAATCCTTGTTCTGTGAAGTTTGGATTCAAACTTCAGGTTCCTTACCCCTGGTCTATGGGAACAAATACAAAATGCTGTTTGGCATTTAAAACCCTTCCTTCATAACCTAGCCTCCTCCTAACTTTCCAGTCTTCTTGCATCTTACTCCCTGAGAAGTACTCTTCAATCCAGTGACTCTGGCCTCCTGATTGTTCCATGAAAAAGACACTACATTTCTCTACTCTGGCCATTTTCTCTAGCTGTCCCCAACCTGGAACCCTTTCCATCCTCCATTCCAACTATTGATTTCCATATCTTCCTTTAAATGCCAACTAAAATCCCAGCTTCTACAGGAAGCTTTCCAACCCCTCAACTCCAGCACTTCCCCTCTTTTAATTATTTCCTATTTATCCTGTACATAGTTTGTTTTGTATATATTTGTTTGCATCTTGTCTCCTCTATTCGATTGCAAGCTTCTTGAGGGCAGGGAGTTTCATTCTCTCTTTTTATATCCCCAGCTATTAGCATAGTGCCCGGCACAGAGTGGGTGGTTAATAAATGTTCACTGATTAATTACTAATGGGATGAATGGAGAGAGCATCAGATGAAAAGATACCATGAAGGTAGAAATGTCAAAATTTAGCAACTGATTGGGTTTGTGGAGTGAGTAAAGGTGAGAAGCTGAGGATAGGGTCAAGGTTATAAATCTGGGAAACTAGAAGGATGGTGGTCCCTTCAAATATGGAAGTTTAGTTTCTTTTCTTCCTTCTTCCTTTCCTTCCTTCCTTCCTTCTCCTTTCCTTCCACATCCTGATAGATAGATATGTAGATAGACACACACAGCGAGATATATATGTGTGTGTGTATATGTGCGTGTGTGCATGTATATATGTGTGTGAGTATATATATATATATATGTATATATATCACTTCATATTGACTGAATGATTAGAGTTGGTATTTCCCTGATAGCCTAGGCTATAGATCAAACTTGAACCCTGGTACTCTTTATTTCAAGGCCCACCTTTACACACCCACATTACACTTCCTGACTCCATTTCACAATTATTAAAGCTGAAAGTTATACTCACTGAATCATAGGACTTTAAAGAGGGAACACAACAAACACAAACACAAAATGAGAGGCTGTATTGACTCTGTGAATAGAGTATCGGCCCTAGAATCAGGAAGATCTGGATTCAAATTTTGCCTCAGATTCTTACTGTCATTCTGGGCAACTCATAACCTCCTTTGGCTAAAAATAAATATACACGCACACATACATATAAATACGTATGTCTGTATATGCACGTATGTATATATGAATACATATATACACATACATACACAGAGGCTGTAAGCATACTTCAAGTCTCTCCTCATTCTAATCCGTCCTTCACTCAGACGTCAAAGTGCTTGTCCTAAAGTACAGGACTCACTATACCACTGCTTTACTGAATGAAATCTAGCAGCTTTCTCTCTAGGATCAAATACAAATTTCTGTTTGTCATTTAAAGCTCTGTCTCCCTTTCCATCTTTTTTACCCATTACTCACCTCCATGTTCTCTAAGATCTGAATAAACTGGTGTTCTTGCTGTTCTTCACACACAGTGCTGCATTTCCTTTTTCAATGCCTGGATAGCGACTGTCCCTGTTCCACGGAATGTTCCTCTGCCACATCTAGTATGAAGGCCTCTCCTGGTTTCTCTCATATTTCATTTGTATACATCTTGTTTAAAAATATATTTGTGAGTTTGTCTCCCCCATTGCAATGGAAGTACATAGGATAGATACTTTTTTTTTTTAGATTCAGCCCTCAGCACCATGCCAGATGCCTAACAGGCACTAATACTAGTTGATTGAATGATTAAATTTGGCATTTCCCTATGGCCTGAGGGCTGTAGATCAAACTTGAACCCAGGTTCTCTTTATTTCAAGGTCCACTTTTTTTTGGCATCCACACCATGCTTCCTGACTCCACTTTGTAATTACAAATATGGAAACTAAAGCTGAAAGTCACAATCACTTTGTTCTTGGGATTTTTTAAGATGGAACACAACAAACACAAAATGAGAGGCTGCATGGACTTTGTTGACAGAGTATTGTCCTGGAGTCAGGAAGATTTGGATTCAAATTCTTCCTTCAAATTCTTACTAGTTGTGTCACCTTGGACAAGTCACTTAACCTCCTTTGGCCTCAGTTCCTTACCTGCAAACTGAAGGGGTTGGACTAAATGGCCCCTAAGGTGCCTCATAACTCTAAATGTAAGATTCTATGACCTACGCATTCTTACAATATAGCCTTAGTTCAGAGGAGGAAACTGAGACCCAGGGAAGGTTAGGGACTTGTCCAAGGTCACTGATGAACCAAAAATATAACAACGGTCTTCTGTCAAACCTGCACCCTGCACCCTGACTCCCTCACCATCAAATATGGGAGGTGGTGGAGTGTCAGCTGCAGGTTAGGAGGGATTAGGGTAAGCTCTGCAGCTGAGGGGAGAGCACAGAAGCGATACTGATTGGATGGAGGTGGGGGCCGGGCCGGGGGGCTTTGCGCTGCAATTCCGAGGCTGCTGGGTGGGAGGGGAAACGACTAGAGGAGGGAGGGCGGGGCCGGCCAAGGGCTCGCTGGGATTTCGCGCGTCCTCGGCTAGGAGGCGGGTTTTGCTCTGCTCGGTCTAGACTCGAAAGTACATTGGTCCGGCCGCTGCAGCCGGAGCCCTGGGCAGGCACTGAGGCTGAGCCAGCCCGAAAGACCCCGGGGGATGGGGCACCCCGAGCCGACCCTGCCCCCGGCGCCCGAGGCGGGCCACGCCAGTTATATAAAGGGCTTATATAAAGGGCTCAGCCGGCGTGGCCACAAGGGCTGTAGCAAGAGGAGGTGCAGAAGAGGCAGCGGGGCTAACAGCTGCAGGTGCCCGCTCTTCACCACGGACGCCGTCCCCGCAGCCCCGGCCCCGCCGCGGCCGCTCTGGGCCGCTAGGGCAGCCCAGTCCCCGGGGCATCCCCAGGACGGAGCGGACCATCCCCCCCCGAGGGGGAAGAAAAGGAAGAGGGCAGCCCAGGGACGGAAGGGCTTGAGCCAGGTAAGGATGCAATCCGAGGGGCTGTTGGTGGAGGCACCGAGCAGAGTTTCGGAGCTGCCTCTAGGGCGACCTAGACCCTAGGGCCCCGGGGTAGTGAGACGCCACATCCCGCACCCACCCACCTCCAGCCCGAAGTTGGGATGGTCCTCTAGACTCCGCTGCGGCTTAATTCAATGGACTGTTTACACTAGGGAGAATCCATCGCGGCTAAAGGTGTGGGGGAAGAGCGGGAGGGACAGGGCCGGAGGAATGAGAGCAAGACGAAATAAAAACTCATGATGAGACGTTCTTCCTCTGTTTTATAAAATTCTCGCCATCGTTGCCCCCTATCCATTAAGATAGATTGATTAAGAAGACAAGTGCTTTTAGATTCTCTTTCTTCCACCCCCCCACAGCGGCTCAATGGTTTCGACCTTCCCGCTTTCCCCCCCCATTCAAGTGGCGGCCGCTGTTTCAGTCTTAAAGGGGCCGCGCCTGGAGGAGGAGGCGGAGGAGGTGGTGGTGGCGGTGGTAGTAGTGGTAAGGGTAAGGGTAAGCAGTGCGGCCTGCGATCCCCGCCCTCCCCCTCCCCACCTCTCCCCTCTCCCCCACCCGGCCTCCTCGCCTAACCGACTCTTTTTGCTTGCAGGTCCCAGCCCGAAGTCCCGCTCCGCCGCGTCCCGGGGCCGGACGGAGGGATGAAGAAAGGGGGTCCCCGGCAGCGCCGTTGCTGCTCCCCCCGCAGCCCGCAGCCATGGAAACGGGCGAGGAGGACGGTGTTCGCCGAGGGACACAAAGCAGTGAGCGGAAAAGGCGAAGCCCAGGGCTCCGGGCGCCCAGCGCAAAGCTGAGGCCGGCGGCAGCGGCCCAGGCCCAGGCCCAGGCCATGGAGGCGGCCGCGGAAGAGGAGGCGGCCGCGGGCAAGGCCTACCTGGCGGCGGCGCTGAGGCGGCGGGAGGCGGCGACGCGGCCGCGGTACAGCCTGCTGGCGGAGATCGGGCGCGGCAGCTACGGTGTGGTGTACGAGGCCGTGGCCGGCCGCAGCGGGGCCCGGGTGGCGGTGAAGAAGATCCGCTGCGACGCGCCCGAGAACGTGGAGCTGGCGCTGGCCGAGTTCTGGGCCCTGACCAGCCTCAAGCGGCGCCACCAGAACGTGGTGCAGTTCGAGGAGTGCGTCCTGCAGCGCAACGGGCTGGCCCAGCGCATGAGCCACGGCAACAAGAGCTCGCAGCTGTACCTGCGCCTGGTGGAGACCTCGCTCAAAGGTACGGCCGGCTGACAGAGCCCCCCGGGCATCCCCCGCCGCCGGACCGCGCCCCGAGCCCCGGCCTTCCTTCCCGGGCCCCAGCCTGCACTCAGCCTCGTGTCATTCATTCCTCAGCCTGCCGCCCCGGGAAGGGACCCTTGCATGCCCTTTTGTTTTGTGGCTCCCAGGCTTTTAAAACCACCACTCTAGTCTTCACACCTGTTTCACTGACTTTCCTGTAGCCTCAAGGCCTTTAGAAATCCTCCTTACCATCTTTACCCGGGGGATCCCTAACACTGCACCCTTTCCCATTTTCTGTCTCCTGGGATCCTGACCTTCAGTTTCTTTTACAGCTTGCTACCTTCCCTGGGTCGGCCTCACCTGCCCCTCTTCCCTCTATCCCTTTCCTTCCCCTGCCCACCCATCCTATTGTGCCCCTAGGTGCTTAATAAGAATAGGAATAACAACCTATATAATAGGTTACATTTATATTCACGTGGAGCAAGTAATGCAAGTTGCATTGGTACTTAAAAGGGATTTGCTAGTAAATTGAAGTTTTGGGGAGTGAATTTGCTTAGTCCTGTGACTCTGTAGATGGTTGTGCTGGAGAAGTCCTCACTGGGACCTAAGTTTTCCAACTTTCAGTGCATTTTTTATCAACAAGCAGTTTGTCAGAGGGCATGTACTATGCTAGTGGGTGGGGGGCAAAAACTAAAAAAAGCTCCTGCCCCTAAGGAGTTTACATTCTATCAGTGGAAACAGTTTGTGTACAATAATTTTTGGAAGTAATTTCAGGTATTGGGGGGGGCAGTCAGCAGCTAGGGTGGGATCAGGAAAAGGTCTTATATGGAGAGAGGACTTGAGCTAAACTTGGAAGCTAAGAATTCCAAGAAGGAGATGGCAGGAGGGAGTGAATTGAAGGTATGGGGAAAGTCTTGCAAAGGTGCAGAGATAGGAGACAGAATGTCATATACAGGAAGTAGGCTAGTTTGGTTGAATCCTAAGAGTGCATGAAGGAAGGAGGGAGAAATAACCCGGGTAGAGTAAATGGAACCAGATTGTGAGGGACTTCAAATTCCAAATGAAAAAGTTTGTGCTTGATGGTAGGGACAGTTTGAGCAGGAGAGTGACAGGGTCATTAGTTGACTTGTGCACTTTAGGAATATAAGTTTGGCAGCTATATGGGATGGGGGGAAAGAGAGATTAGGGCTTTTGCAGTGGTCTAGGCAGTGGTGATGAGGGAGGGCCTGAACTGGAGTAAGTTGAGAGAAGGGCATGGATATAAGATGTGGAGGCAGAATTGATAAGAGTTGACAACTGACTTATATGGGATAAGGAAGAGTTGGAAGTCAAGGATGTGAGTTACTGGAAGGATCACTATTCTTTCAGCTTACCCACATCCTTGACTCCCAACTCTTTCTCTTACCCCAGTAGGGTAAGACTGACTAGGATTTAAAGAGGCCTCTTATTTCCCAGTTTAGGCTGTTTTTCTAGTTTCACCTGTTCTCATAGAAAGATGGATAAACTCCCCAAAGCCCTATATTTTGTCTCTCCCCAGCTTGGTGTTTTGGTTAGAGCAATGAATTTTAATTAGACATAAAAAGTTTTATTGAACCCTCAATTTCCTCATTCTGTAATAAAAGGTAAAAATATTTACCTTACCTTTAGGTTTGAGCTATCAGGCCAGTTGTGAGGAAAACACTTTTCAGAGCCTCAGAAATGAACCTGAATATGGAGCTCTTCCCAAAGATCTCTATCATATATTTTAGCTATAGACCAGCTAGCTTCCTGCCCACATAAATAGGCCCTTCTGTCTTCTGAATAGACTGTTTCCCACTAAACTCTTCACATTTTTGTTTTCATCCTATAAGTCCACCTACATTTCCCTTCTGCTAAATCTACTTTTGATGTATTTCTGCACTTTAGGATCGTGCTGGGGCGGGGGATGCTTAAAGGACTGCCTTTGTTCAATACACATTCCCTTGTCTCCAAGTTCATTGCCAGTCATGAAATGATTTGGGTTTGTAACTTTCAGGCGATTTCCCTCTGGCCTTCAGTTTCCTGGGGCATGGGATTAGAGTTCTAAGATCTCTTCCATCTCTGAATCATGTAACTTGACTTCTCTGAATCTGTTTTCTCCTTCTCTCTCCAGCCTCTTGACCACACATACACTCTCAGGTCTCAGAAACAGGACCTTTGCTAAATAATGGAAACTTGTTGAAAGCGTAAAATGAGGCTTCATTTCAAGAGAGGGCCCACATTCACAACAGATTAGTGGTTGAGCTAGCATTTGAGCTCATGTTCCTGAGCTCCAACTTGGATTTAGGGTTTTTCCCATTTTATTCTACTGACTTGCCTGTGCTGAAAGAACATATCTGCTGATGCACATTGAGTTGTGTGTTGGGAGTATGGGAAAATTTCAACTTACTAAAGTTAGTTTCTGAGGTTCCGTGATTCCATTTAGCTAATCCACCTATACCTGAGCCAGGAATCCTTTCTCTAATGTCCCTAACAAGGGGTCATCCATTTCTTGACTGTCTTCAGTAAAAGGAAGTCTTTTTAGGTAGCTTATTCATCACTATGGTAAAATTACTTTTAGACATGATGATCCCATGTTCATTTAGTGGGGTATGAACCCAAAATGCTCAAATTTAGCCAAATGCTCAGAGCTACAGAAGAATGAATATGCCATGTAGGGGTGGGTATGAGGAGAAGGGATCTTCTAGCTGTGTCTTTATGACCAATACCCATATGGCTCTATATGCCACATACACAGAGCACACCCAGAGTTTCCAGCCAGAACTTGGTCTTTCTGTAACCTAGAGTTCTCCCAAGATAGAACTTTCTTTTGGGTTAAGTCTCTGCATATTCGGGTTCAAGTGCTTATCAGATGTGGGCTCTTTATTCTTTAAAGCTGTTGCCTGAAAAGATTGGGTTTGTAACAAGCTAATGAGTAGATTAAAAAGTAACTTAGGTGGTCTGGAGTAGTGGAAAGAGCATTAAAATAGTCATCAGAAGACTGATTCTAGTCCTGAACATGTGCTGAACTTAGTGTGGGACCTTGAGCAAATCACTTAACTCATTTTCCGCTGCCATAAAATGAGAGCTGTACAAGAGAACAGTAGGAGGGCTGGAAAGAATTACAGACAAGCAGGACAGCTTTGAAAATTACCAGTTAAATTTATAATATAATTTAAAACAAAAGTAAGTTGTGTATAATAGAGATCTGGAGTTTCATGTACAATCCTCTTTCCTCTTCTATGTATGTATGTAGAGATGCCCCTTTGATTTAGTGTTTAATTTCAGAAGGAAAACAAAGTAGTTGAGCACTGATTTTAGAGTCACAGGACCAGAGTTCAAATGTGCCACTGGGACTGTGTGACCTTGGGCAAGTCACTTAAGCTCCTGTGGGCTTCCTTATCTGTAGAATGACTCGATTAGACTAGATAAGTTCTGAGGCTCCTACCATCCAGTCCTGGATATATGTATGCTCCCGTGTCAATTTCTAGACCTTTACATCTGAAAAGGATGTTAGCTAGACATCTTCTAGTCAAGAAGGGGAGCAACTTTCCCAAAGCAGGATCAGCAGCAGAGCCCCAGGTTTTCTGATGTTGAATCCACTGCTTTTGACACTCACTGCAAACCAGCTAATAAGAGGTCTTTTGACTGATTGATGCTAACTCCTGAGACAAATCCCACTTGGATCTTCTAGCTTTGGGAACAGGGTTTGAGATTGTAGCTCCCATCCATATGTTTTTACAGCCTTAGACCAGGTCTGTAGGAAGGAAGGACAGGTGAAATCCTGATCTTAAAAGAACGTAGAATAGGGCTCCAATAGAAACTTCCCCAGACATGTTGAACACCAGGATAAAATATAGCTATAGAGTTGCAAAGATTCCTGCACGGAGTAGAGACTTGCTGATTTCTAGAATCTCTTTCTACTCTATAATTCTATGATATTAGCGTAGCAGTTTGCAACTGGAAAGGACCTGAGATCGTTGTGTCTATTGCTACTTTGCAGACAGGAAAAGGGAAGCCCCAGAGAGAAGGAAGTAGGTAACATTCAATCAACAAGTATTTATTAAATGTCTGCTGTGTGCCTAGACACTATTTTAGGAGCTAGAGATACAAGTACAGAATGAAATAAGAATGAAATGATACCTGCTTGAACTTCCATTCCAATGGATACAAGTACATATAAAAAAGTGTATACAGCATAAATATAAAATTAATAAATACATATATACCACCACCACCACCCAAGTAGGTAAATATGTGGGAGAGAAGGTTACTAGAAGCTGGAATGAAAAAAGTCTTCATACAGAAGATGATGCCCGAGGTGCAGATAGGGAGAGAGGGCGTTGTAGGCATGGGAACAGCCAGTGCAAAGGCCCAGTGAGAGGAAATGCAGTGTAGTGTCATGTGTGAGGAATAGAGAAAAGGCTGGTTTGGCTGGATTCCTGAGAATGAGAAGGGGAGTGATGTCCAATAAGGTTCGAAAAATAGACTGAGAGCTGGCTTTATAGGGCTTTTAAAGCTAAGTAGAGAACTTCATGTATTCTAGAGGAAGTAAGAAGCCACTGGAATTGGTTGAGAAGAAAAGTCACATAATCAGATCTGAGTTTAGGGAAAATTATTTGACATCAAGGTATAAAATAACTGGAGTATAGTGGCCTAGACTAAGAAGTAAATGTATTACGTGGAGAGATGAGGGTTAAACAGAAGAAATGTTGTGATAGTAGAACAGCAAGACTTGGGCATCTAATTGGTTTTATGGAGTGAGGAGACGTCAGGGATAAAGTGAGATTATGAATCTGAGGTTCTGGAAGGAAGGCCCTTCAGCAGAAACAGAAGATTGGAGAGGGATGGGAGTTCAGTTTTAGACAAGTTGAGTTTAAGAGATCTACAGGACATCCAGGTTGAAACATATCCAGTAGACATTTGGTGACACAAGGCTAAAGCTTGGGGAAAGACTGTAGCTGGATATGTAGATCTGGGAGACATCTGCATAGAGAGATG